ACTCACCTTGATGATAACCATGATTGCAAAACTTACAATTCACAATTATGGTATTAAACACTGAACGAGAAATAGGAATAAACAGCACAATGCAATAATGCAAACACTTTCGATCCAAAATGGCGAATAGTTTCGTGCAATCCTTGTCATCAATGAATAACATAAGTTGTACGCTCCAGATAAGCTATTAGTGCCCTGAAAAATACATTCTGGAGTATTTGAACAAAACGGAACAATTACAGCTTTTCTTATTTCAGTTCACGCTTTTGTTGAAGTCAATGTGTTCGTTTTAAGAAATTCGAAAATATCGTCGAATAGTTCATCATTAAGACATAACACTAGAGACGAAACACGGTAGTGGCAAGAAAAAAGTTTCGGTATCGTTATATACTGAGACGGTCAGATTGCATATGTCATTTGTTACGTGTTTATTGAAAGTAACCATCGTTTCTCCGAAAATAACGTCAGAAAACATCTTCTTCACGTTTTTAACACAGTAGACATTTACATTTCAATGTTTTCTATGTCAAAGTCACAAATATAATGATCCATACTTCTCAAAAATGCAATAATTTGAATGCTAGTTGATTGATTTTTGTGATGAATATTATTCAAGTACACTGAGAGAAACTAGATATTAAAAATATCTACCAGCTCTGATTTTAATAACCATTATAAGGAAATCTCCTATTCCTGATCATTTTATTATTACAACAGTATTCTCTCCATTCTGTAATTATAAGAATCGATTTCTTAAATCATTTGTAATACCCTTGAATGGACATTTGCTACCATCATAGCGCAGGTGTGTTATGACATTATGAGAATTTTATAAATTCCAGTCTATTTAAATTTTTCTTGACATAGCTCGTTTTGTGAATTATGCTCATTGGTGCATTCAGATAATGTTTGTCCCAATAATCATAGCTGTTTGGGTTTCTAGCATTATATGTTGACGAATTACTCTAGCAATTCACACGTATGACGGTTATTAGGCAATCATTCGACAATCGAAATTCGGCTCATTTCGCTCTATTGTTTCATTAGTATTGAAGCTGACAAAGATACAGATCGCGTTCATTTCACTGCTGTTCTCGGTCATGGGTGCCCGTGTTCAATTATTGTTCAATAGTTTCGATCGTCCGAATCGATAGAGCCGTGTCTTGTAGGTGAATGTCTGTGATGTAGCAAAGTTTTGTTTAAGTGCTGGCTGTGAACCGATCTGTGGAATACACCGTGCATTGCATTATTGCAATGAAAAAAGTATTCTCCATACCCACTTTTCACGACCTAAAATTGGTTTATTTCAAAAACAAAATTATCGATGAGATTCTGAATCAAAATATCTGGGTTTCTGTGAGGGAAGTTTTATTGACAATTCTCATTATAACTCCGAAGGAAGGGTTAATATAAGTATTCAACTTCTCATTTCTTGATAAATTCGTCAGTAATGCATATTGATGATATTTCTCCGAAAAAATCAATGAGTAATGTCAAAAAACTTCCACAGATACCCAAATATTTCAATTCAGAGACTAAACGTATTTTTTTGTTTTTTTGAAAACAATAACTTTGGATCATGAAAAGTGATAGTTTGGATAGGATATTTATTTTGATTGCAGTAATTCAAAGCACGGTTACCACTGTTTGATGAATATACTAGAGTAGAAAAATATTGGGATAACTGTTGAAAATGAGCTATATTACATTAGCATGTCAAAATGTCAGGTTTCATGCAGATATCAGATAACTATAATGAAATAAGACGTATTACTGCGTTACCTCAAGATGGTTGTGCCAGTGATAAAAACATGCTGTTTTATGTCGATAGTCTAATAACCACTGTAGAGTGGAAAGTTACTGCAACATTTTATGGAAATAATTCCTATTCCAGATTCTGTGTTATCATAGAAACTAGAACAAGTAGTAGTTATTCAGCAGCGGTGTTTTTATACAAGTTTGCAAATTGAATAAGCTGCCATAACTACAAGTCACCTGAAAATTCACTTCATCTATGGTAGCAAATGAACACATCTGTCCCCTATTTATTGCAGATATCGTAATAAAGGTTATCAGATTTCCAATTATGATAACTCAAGTTTTTTCTCAGTGTATATATTTGTGTGTGCGTGAATAAAATGATATGAAAGATAGGTATATCTGCTGTTACAGTGCAACATAAAAGTTTGTTCGGAATTCCTTATTCATTTGAGGGGTTTTTCAATGCCTAAGAGCGGGTTTTGATATTCGTTTTACCTTCTGAGTCTCATTTTTCTTATATATTTTCCAACAGATGGAAGAGATGTGGTCGTGATGGAGTTATGTCTCTGGTTTCCTGGCAAATATTTCCAAATACCCTCGAAAATTTTCTGGTATGGTTTGCTGCAGACGGTGTTTCTGGAGCATTGATAGATTTATCTTCAAGTTCGTCGGCGTTTACACTTCCTTTCAGTTCCTCAACAATATAAATCTCATTGTCAACGTAGAGTCGGTAATTATCAATGCAACAGTTTGTATTGTTGTCTTCTCTAGCTAGGTATGAATGTTTCTTCAGAATTTTCTAGTCCTGATGTTGCTTGATGAATTGGACTTAATCCTCCTCTGCCGAGTGTATAATAATTATTCATGTCCGAAGGAAATACCTCAACTTCGATAAGTCTCTCTAGTTCACTGGTCATAAAGTCCGTAGTGATTTTTTTGACAGGATGCTTTAATTCGAATATAATGATATAATCTATTTACTTTTCTTCTCTAGTCGTTCTAGTCTTTCTCCTTACTGGTGATTCGTTGTTTTGAGCTGAGTAAGTCTATTATTGATTTCCTCATCTTTGAGGGTGAGTCGCACTTCCGCTGCTTCGATCGTTTATTTCAGTTTTCGTCTGGCCTCTTCGATTTCTTTCAATACCATTCCAATTGTTCAGGTCATCTCAGTAGATATTGATTCTTAGTGTATGGGTTACGTTATGCCGATATAGGCACTGATAAAAAAAATAAGTTCCTCTTTTTCTGTTCCTCGATTCCAATGTTTATATATTTTGAGATCGGAATCACATTAACTTGATTGCGAATCTTTCGCCCATTGAAACACTCATGCACTGGTTCAGAGGATTGATCAGTATTCAAACAGTCTTCGATTGATACATGTATCTGTAGATGTATCTGTATATCCTAATAATCATCGAGATTTCATTAATTGCAAAATTATTGTGTAGCACGAACAACAATGTGATACCTAAGTTCCCAGATATACAAATAAAGAAGAAAGAGACAAATTACATTGTCAATCTAACTTGACGTTGATATCACCTGTCAACTACATCGTCGCATCCTTGTTTCATCTAGTCAAGATAAAAATATTCTAAAAAAATCCTCACATCATCTGATTCTTCGGTTACGTGTTGAATGTGTTGTATTCTCATTTATCTGCAGTAAGTATTCAATACAGGAATTTTATTCCATATTCTGATTGAAATGACAAGCAGAAATTTTCATGCATTTGTCTATCAGAAATGGAGAATTGATACGTGAGTCGAATGTCATATATGGTATTTTCGAATGATTACCACACGCATTTTCTTGCGTTTTCTATGTTATGAGAAATCGTAAATTCCAATTATTTTTCAGAATAGTAACAGAGGTCTGAGGACAAACAGTTTGCGATAGTGAACTAGTTAGGGTTCAATTTTTCACTGACACAGGCTTATTGTTTATGATGTCAGGATTATGATGCTCTGCATTTTAACCCATTTGTTTCGAGTAATTAATCACAATAATCATGTTCATGAAGTACTTCAGCAATTTCTTGAATGAAGTTTGTTTGCTAGAGAATAAGAAATATAGTAAGGAAATTAGCAGCCCCCAAAACAAATGGTGAATTGATTATTGTGGTAACTCAACACAAATAAGGTAGGAACTTGAATAACATGATAATCCTGACATGATCAAAAACCAGTATGGGGAAGCACCATAATTCCGAAAACTGAGTGAAATGAAACATATCTGCATACAGAAAAAAAAAGGATAATTGATTTTGTCATCCATTGTAATATCGAAATGTGGTCAGTGACGTACTCCAAGGAAGTTATCTCAATTTTCATCGAAGAACGAGCGAAATACTCACCTCCCTGTATATTGATTGATTTATTATGACATATTGAGCACGCTTATTCACGATAGTGAATCGCCCTACGAATTTTAGAGCAGTATTACCGTTCGAGGATTTTGAATTTTTCAAGAAAATCTGGGCATAAAATGATTCTTCATCGCCCTCTCTCGGCTCAACGGTGCATTTTTGTATTTTGATTCCAAGAGTCATATTTTGGTATCTAGTCGACCCGTTAGGATCTATTGAACGATGTTCTGGGACACCTTTGTATATAGTTCCTCATATTCCCGAATGCCATGTAATGTCCCCTTCTTGGTTGTTGGATCTACGTCCGACTCATCAGAACAATTTCAGGAGTACAAGGAAGAACAACAAAAGAGATATTTCGCATTTTATTTGTTCATTTTGGAACTCATCACAATGGTGAGGTACTGACTCTTCCAGAGTTCAAACAAAAATATCCTCTGCAATCTAAAATACCCATTTGCTTACCAACTCTTTGCTATGAACAAAAATCAATAAACTATTTCGGAAAAGCTGTGTACTATATCAAAATGGTATTTAGTTCAGTGAATTAATTGAACAATATATTTATTATACGCATCTACTATGATTTAATCACAGTGTCCAGAAATTCACTCATGGATACAGTTGTAATGAATTTATGTTACTCGGAAACCAGAACATCAGGATTCTCTCCTGAATACCTACCAATATGTTTCAATGTTATATGTAGAATTCTGATCGCGTCTCTAGAATCCTACGCACATCTTCCACGAATTTGACCACTTATCATCGTCTACAGTTAGTGGAACCTCCTCACCACCCTGATATATAATATATCATCACAATTTTTGATGTTGATGATGCTAACTGACTCTTGCATTAATTCCAGGTATTATCAGATATGGGAACATATTTATACAAAGCAATTCCTGATACAAGATTAACTGTTAAGAAATATGCCGATGCCAAATTCGAATACCTAGCGTATTGTTTGAAAGTGAAGGAAATGGACGATGAAGAGTGCAGTTATGCTGCTTTACAAGAACCCCTTTATCGAGTGGAGACAGGGAATTATGAATACAGGTGCGTTTATATATGAGTTGTTATTAGTCCGGTCATCAGAGGATCGGATAGCAAAGAGTTATGAAAATATATAACATGGCAATATCGTGAACTTGGTGATCCTGATTATCAACCAGAGTTTGCCACCTCCAGCGACCGTTGCTATTGTGCTGCTATTTTGAAAAAATATTGCCACACATCCGTTTTCAGGGTATAACTCAGTTTCTGTAGGTTTTGCCGAAATCGGGATATGGAAATTGAATGATAGGAAATTCCCATACAATTGTGTAGTTGTGATGATAGTTTTCTAGTAACAATAAGGCTGACAACTATAGGCAGAAACTCAGAAGTCGCATGAAATAACTGTTTCCCACATCGTTAATGGATAAACAGGTTTGTGATATATTTTGATGATATTCCTGCGAAGAAAGCTTGAATAGCAGAAGCATAAAATGTATAGGTTAACTCATCGGTATTCTAGAAATATTGAATAAATATTCGAAATATATCTTTTTGAGATAATCAGAGATTCTTCTATACCTATCTATTCAGTGCTGTTATACAGCGTGTTTTTTGAAACGTGATGTTTCATTTTGACGGAATGTGGAATTCATTAATATAAACCTACGAAAAAAATCGAAATCAACCTTTGGACAATTCATAAATTCCCATCATTGATCTGCCGTCATACCTATCGGTCTGATCCAGTAATCTAGGGCAGAGCTTGTTGGTATTAGCTAGCATTCAGTCAATCTCTTGAAGCGCACAAAAAAAATTCATAAAATGTTCAAAAAATTTCTTGCTCACCTCGACAGGATAGAGTGGGGAGGTATGTATTGGATTTTTTGGTGAACTGTCGAAGGTTATAAATTCTTGGAAAAAGTTAAAATGGCAAAGAATTTCAAACCTCTGCCTTTCAACAATCGAACGAGTGTTGTTAAAGTCTCGTTCGACATATCTCAAAGTTGTGAACGGAGGAATATGCTGACTGGGCTTGTCGAGTGCGTCTTACTGGTATGGTCAGTGATGAAAATATAGCACAGATTTCTGGAAAACATTTCCCGTGAAAGTGTCTTCAGAAAAGTGAAAGATCGCCGAATATCCTACAGTGTTCTAATGAGGTCATAAAACTAGTGTTCTGAACGGAATCTTAGAGTTCTAGCGTATGTTTGGGTGCCAAATTCCATAATTGTCTGTGTGTGCAATGTGCATCATGAGAAGCTGTTGAGATGTGAAGTGGATTTTTGGAAGGAACAAAAATCTTGGTTTTTGCGAAGCAGCTTTTGCGATGGATCCGACATAACTCTATCAATGCGAGAAAATCGCTGATGAAAATACCGATCATTGATATAGTGGATATGGTGGGAATGATGGTCTCAGACATTGTTATATCAGAAATACTGTGTTCCGCCTTTATAGAGAAAACGCAAACTCAAGTTTTGGTAGCGTTCCATTCAACTATAGGTTATTGTTTCCCGAGGTTGAAATTTCAGCAAGATCCTCATTCAAAACGTTGATCTGCCTGCGTCATGAGTTCTCGGTTTGTTGAGAAGGAATAAAAATTCTGGAAGAGAACGCAGTATGAAAATCACTATCATCTGCGAAGCTTTGGATAGGACAAGTGATTGCTCCCAACATATCATTGATATGGATATGATGTTCATTCTAATAATTTTGAAAACATTCAGCGGAAATTCATCAAACACATCTGGTTCAGAGTAGATGGGATATATCCAGATAGAGGATTGCCCCAATTGACATTAACAGGTAGATTTGAAACTGCACTAATTACTACTCGCCGTACTCATAGTGGAGTCTTATTTCTATATAAATTGCTCAATAACAAACTTGATTGTCCCCATTCACTGTCTCTCATTAATATACATGTTCCTCGATTGCCAGTGCCCAGATAGCACAAGTACGTCTCAAGGACGTCCTGAAGCCGTTCGCTTCGGACATTACAGACGTACGATGTCACAAAACCGAAAGTCCCTAGGACATACGAATTATGTCCGTTTTGTGTCTAATCTGGACCATTTGGGGACATTTCGAGGACGTCTGAGGGACGTACGATTCAGGTCGGTTTCAGGTCTGAAGTCACTATTAGTCAAAAATAAAATTAACTGATTCAGATAATACATTATATTATTATGATATATTGATAGAAGTTCACATGGCAATGAATATTGATTGAAGAACTTTCTTCTTTGGTTTTCTCAGACTTGCACCTATCGATTTCAATCCTAATTTGATGTGGCACTCATCCTCTCAGCAGATCTCTTTAGTCAGCTCTATGTGGAGGCTTCGGTAGATTTATGATCCTTCGGTGGATTTATGATCCTTCGATATGCCAAGTTTTTGCGCAGCTCCTTGAAAAAAAAAACATAAAAATTTGTAGTACTTCTCCTATCGATTTCAGTGTTTTCAACCAAACGATATATCTCGAAATATACGAGTTTTCTACACAGGAAAATGCTATATAGCATTATATATATATAATGCTCAAAGATCATGAATAACTAGGGAAATAATTTCATCACAATTTTCGACAGCACGTTTTTTGGTGAGTAGGTAACATTGAGCTTGAGGAAGTTGTGATGAAATTATGAGTTATTCATCAATATCAAACAGAATTTTTCACAGGACAGTGATAACTATCCCTGTAAACTATTTATGCTTTTTATATTGATCCAATGAAATATAGGTCCTTCCACTATGGGTGATATTAATATTGTACTCGATAATGAACTTACCTATATAACAATTTTCGATATCTACCTATGATGACAAATTAGAAACTGCTAATATTCCACAGCGTTTTCTTATTCAAACTTCACATTATGCATACAATAACACCATAATAACACAAATAAGCATCCACAGAAACAAAATGGGTGAGGCTACACTACCACTGTTGCCAGATGAAAATTTGCCAGAGAAGTAGATGGATGGGGAAAAAACAGTAGATCATCAAAACTGAACAGTAGATTTTGATCATCATTACAATTTGCTATCATGGATGAAAAATTAAAAACATGAACACCCAAATAACAACGAAATAGAAATGTTTGACAGAAATCAAATTATAAATAAAAGTTCTCTCTCTAATCAATCTGAATCTGATAACTTCAGTATATTATTAATTCTTTGTTACATGTTATATCAAAACATGACGATTCTTCCTTGTAGATAAATATGTTTTCGTATGCAGAAAACCAACTGCTGGATGAATTATAACTTATCACGCGCTGCATTGACTTCTGCGAATTTACTTGAGAAAATATCCTCTTTACGTTTACACTACACTGTTTTACCACTAACCAAACCGATTTTTTAATGCCTCGACACGTGTTTCGCTAAGTTAGCGAAACACGTGTCGAGGCATTAAAAAAAAACAGTTTGGTTAGTGGTAGAACAGTGTAGTGTATTATCGTGCCAAAGGTTCCAGTCTTCGATATACTCTTTACGTTTGCTGAAGAATGAGACAACATATAAAAATAAATAATGAAGAACAAAATTCGTCAAGTTGGGAAGAATTTGTTGGATTGTCTATTTCTACAACCGCTTGTGTGGAATTCTGTCATTTTTCAATTCTACTTTTGGATCGATGAACAAAATAGTAGGTTTCATGCCTAAAACAAAAGAATAGTAGAACAGACAAGAACAGTAGATCTACTGTTGAAACAGTAGGTCTGGCAACGCTGTACACTAGTACACATGCTACACGAGTGATGACCATGAAATCGTATGAATTCTGACAGCCATGACTTTCGGTATGAATGCATTTTTAGACCAATCAGAACGATTCTAGCAATGACGGTCAATTCGAATTGAATTCAAATCTTCTGGAAGAAGAAAATATGAGTTGGTGACCGGATTTGACCTGCGTTATCTCTCATGCTCTGACGGAACAACTACCTTTACAAAGTGCCCGTAAAAATGAGGTCAATGCGTTAAACAAAAAATTATTTAAGCATTATTGAATGACCTTTCTTCATGCGATTTTTCATTTTCCATCCCGCACATAGATCATATTTCGTGTATTGATTCATGAAATCGGATTCATCGAAATGATTATGAATGTTTTTTTCAGACCTGAAATGGACGTTTTGGAGACGTCCATTTATGTACGTTTTGAGAACGTCCCATGATAGACGTCCTCAAAACGTCCTCAAAAGGTTCCGGACGTTCAGACCTGAAATGAACCTCAACGGGACGTCCCGGGGACGTCCTCTGTGCTATCTGGGTGAGAGTTACATATTTCTTTTACTTGCGCATATCTCAATCCAATCTACTGCAGTTTTCACCTATTTATAGAATATGTTCAGATCATATGTCTTCTCTTTTCATAGTTTTTTTTTCTCAGCTCATATGCAGATATGCCCATCTCCATTCACCATAGTATGAAACTTATTTAAAGTCAGTATTAATTCAGTCGTTTGTATCTAAATTTCAATTCGTAATTAATTGTTCATCTTTCCCATCCTGTAATTGGCTCTGGCTGTTGGATGATGTATGAATGAAAACAAATGAATAAAGAAGAAACAATGTTGGTGCCAAAATTGATCCTTGTGGAACGCCAGAATCGATGGCGATAATATCAGATGATACTACGTCCACAATTCGATGGAAGATGGCATACCTGGGGTTGTGAGCCGTATTGTGCCAGTTTGTGGAGGAGTCCTTGGTGTTTTTCCAGGTGTGATGAGCTTCACGCCAACAGCAGCGATGGACAACCTCTTGAATTTTTTGTTCCATCAACATATCCCAAAGGAGTATGAGGCCAAGAAGAAATTTTCACGGATCCCATCTCTGGAAAAATTAATTGACGAATCTATTCAATCCCCAGCAGCCCAATACGTGGAGTATGGCTCGAAGACAGTCAATTTGAAAAGTATATGCTCCAATTCTCCAGCCGGAATTTTGCGCTCAGGATAGAATCCAATATACCCTCAAAGGATTGAGCTTCTGCTTGATGAACTTCAAGATTGCATGGAACTTCACTGAATCCCATAATAAGA